CTATGAGTCGGGGCCGACTCGTCGGCACATAACAACAACAACAACTATATTCCCAGTTAACACTTGTGGATTACTATTCTTTTTTTTTTTTTTTTTTAATCATTTCAAAATTATACCTTTTCATTTTAAGCACACCCAAGCTTCTTTACCTGTACCTTATCAAAATATATACTTTACTACTGCAAAAATAGAAAAGCCTGGTTCTGAACATATCAAGTTTGGTAGGCAAAAATGTCCAGCTTATGGAATCCAGATAAATCAATCATGTCTAGTCTAAAACTTCATATCTGACATTCAATATACAATTTAAGGAGGCTCTTAATAATTTTTTTTAAAGACTAATACAGCTTGATATGTACTGCTAAGGAAATCAGCTCTCCTAAAGGGCTTAAATGAGGAACCTGTACATAGATAGAACAAGAGGTAGTTGTTCAAACAGAACAAGGGATACTGCATGGTTTAAAATCAGGAAAAGTATGTCAGGGTTGGATCCTTTCAGCATACTTATTCAATCTATACGCTGAGCAAATAATCCAAGAAGCTGGATTTTATGAATAATGTGGAATCAGGATTGGAGGAAGACTCATTAATAACCTATGATATGCAGATGACACAACCTTGCTTGCTGAAAGTAAAGAATATTTGAAGCACTTAATGATGAAGATCAAAGATTATCACCTTCAATATGGATTACACTCAAATAAAGAAAACAAAAATATTCACAACTGGACCAATAAGCAACATAATAATAAACGGAGAAAAGATTGAAGTTGTCAAGGATTTCATTTTACTTGGGTCCACAATCAACACCCATGGAAGCACCAGTCAAGAAATCAAAGGATGTACTGCACTGAGCAAATCTGCTGCAAAAGACCTCTTTAAAGTGTTGAAGAGATAAGATGTCACTTTGAAGACTCAAGTGTGCCTGACTCAAGGCACATTATTTTTAACAGGTCTATATGCATGTGAGTGCTGGACAATGAATAAGGAAGACTGCAGAAAAACTGATGCATTTGAATTGCAGTGTTGGCAAAAAATATCGGATGTACCATGGACTGCTAGAAGAACAAACAAATCTATCTTGGAAGAAATACAGCCAGAATGTTCCTTAGAAGCAAGAATGGCCAAACTTTGCCTCTTGTACTTTGGTGATGTGGCCAGAAGGGACCAGTCCCTGATGAAGGATAATAGGCTTGGTAAAGTAGAGGGTCAGCAAAAACAGAAAAGACCTCCAATGAGATATAGGGACACAGTGGCTACTGTGGTAAGCTCAAGCATGGCAACAATTGTGAAGATGGCTCAATAGCAGGCAGTGTGTGTTCTGTTGTACACAGAGTCACAATGAGTCAGAGCCAACTCAACAGCATCTAACAGCAACAAAGGGCTTAAATGAGCCAATATATGTCTGTTTGCTCCAATATAAAAAACTTTGAAGTATTGGGGATTTTATTTATGGTTTACTTTATTATTTAATTATTTATTTTAAAAAAGGAGTTACAGTTCCCTCTCCCCTCTTTGAAGTGACCAGGATAGCTGTCTTACAGAACTATTCTACTTTGTGAATTTTTCTGATTGTTCCCTAATGCTATTCTTTACCTACTTCCTCTATGGTCTTTAATTTTTGGTAAACTGGAAGTTAGGTTTAGGGATTTTATTACATTCATATCAAACATTTTTGGCAAGAAAGCATAACATATGTTGTGTTCTTCAGATGGCATCCTATCAGGAGGCACCTGATGTTCCACTATTAATGAAGCAGACTTGATCCTTGCTCAAGGTAGTGACCACTACATGAGCCAATGCAAAGCAAATTCTTTCCCCAATGAGAAAGTAATCTGTGGGCTAATACTTTGGTATTATAAGAATAATCTGTTTCTCGACAACTTTTTATCTAATCATTTACATAGCCATAGAAGATCCTTATTTGGATCAGTTATTGGGGGATTAAGAAATTATTTTCTAATCAAATCATTCCTTCCACATTTATTAGATGGCATTCTTTTGTAAAAAAAATTGTCCTCCTCCATCCCATTGCCCCTCCCTTTTTGGAGTATATTCATAGGTTTTGATTTATTCAGTGTGCTATCACCAATTACAGGAGATCTGGTAGCATAGTGCCTAAGGCACTTGACTGCTAACCAGAAGGCTGGAGGTTCAAACCCACCAGCCACTCCTGGAAGGAAGATGGGGCAATCTACTTCCATAGTGATACTGCCTCAGAAATCCAAGGAGGGGTCGCTATGAGTCAGGTCCGACTCAATGGCACGTAATAATAGCAACAACAGCATAGCCAATTACAATCACTATTCTTTTTGATAGTCAATGATTCCAAATTAGTTTAGTGGGAGCCTCTTCCAGCTAGTCCCTGTCCTTTTTGATGACTCTGTTAGTCTCTGAGCATTTACTTGTTTTCTAGCACAAGGTAACACAGACTTATCTTTTCCTTCCTCTGCCCCAGACCTGAAATCAGCCTTTTACCACAATTAGCCCTGGTTCATTTTATGGAATAAAAAGAAAGTTTGGTTCATACTAGTATTGCCATTTTAAATTTAACATTTTAGGAGTTTTTTCTCTTATAATGAAAATCTTGATTACTAACAATCATAATATATTTCCTTCCTTTTAATATACTCATAAAATAGTTGTGAAACTATAACATCAATATTGCTGCTAACAATAAACAGTGAAGTTTAAAACTTCATTGCTGTTCCTTTTGTCATTAGAACATATTCTATCAAGGCTACACAGGGATTGTGTTCTAAACCAAAAGAGACCAAGAGCCATGTATGGACTTAGAGCAGTGTCTGATACAAAAAACAACCTGAAACAAAATAAAAACAGATACAAAAGACATTAATAAAATATTAGGGTAATTTTGAATATGGATTAGATATTAGAGAGTATTTTGGAATTATTCGTTTTCTTAGATATAATAATGATTTTGTAGTTATTTAGAGATTATCATTACTGCTGAGATGTGTGGGGAAGAAGTATCATAATGTCTATAACTTTCAAATGATACTGGGAGAAAATATAAAGAGAGAAATCAAATACTACAAAACACTTTTAAATTACTGAATTTAGGTGAAGGACATTTAGGAGTTCATGGTACTATTCTTTCAACTTTTTGTTATTTGATTACAGTAGTTGCTGGCTAAAAAAGAGTTGAAGGAAGTGACTATTCATGATTAAAATCTTGTGTCAACTGACTCATAGGGTGAATATCTGATAGACAGTATTTTGTGAATTTATTTTCATGGTGAACCTAGTAAACTTTTGTCTTGTTTATTTAAAAAATAAAATATTGGGAGCTGTTAAGTCTGCAAAAATATATGTGCTTTTTATTATTCTATTAACATTTCCATAACTTCAATCCTTCAAACAAATGACTAAAACCAAAAAACCAAACTTACTGCTGTTGAGTCGGATCCGACTCATCGCGACCCCTCCTTGGGTTTCCAAGGCAATATCACTACAGAAGTAGATTGCCCAATCTTCCTTCTGAGGAGTGGCTGGTGGGTTTGAACCTCCAGCCTTCTGGTTAGCAGTCAAATGCCTTAGGCACTACACCACAAGAGCTCCTAAACAAATGACCAGATTATTTTATTATGTGCATTAAATTTTTTGTTGTTGTTCATTTAATTTTTTTTTTAACTGTGATTTGGGTGAAAGTTTACAGAGCAAATTGGTTTTCCATTCAACAATTCACATATATTTTGTTTTATGGCAATCATTCCAGTTCCCACAATGTAACAGCACTCTTCCCACTTCCCATGTTTACCATTTCCCTTTGCCTTTCTTTCTCTCTCTCTCTCTTTTTTTTTTTTTAATTTTTATTGTGATTTGGGTGAAAGTTTACAGAGCAAATTCATTTTGCATACAGCAGTTCATCCACATTTGTTTCATGACACTGACTGCAATTCCTACAATGTAACAGCACTCTTTCCACATCCTCCCTGTAGTTACTTCTTCCCTGTGTCCTTCTTTCCTATGCATTCCTGCCCTCTGAGCTACCTCTCTGTGCAAATACTGCCCTTTTGTTCTTCCATGGTTGATCATTCTAAGGAGTGTATCTACCTCGTGTAAATATTCACCCTATATGCCTGTCTATTGTTTGGCTGGAAGCCATGGGAGTACTTTCAATTCCAGGCCTAAAGGCTAAGGAGGGACCATGGTCTCAGGGGTTTCACCTGGCTTTATCAGACCAGTAAACCTGGTCTTCTTTATGATTTTGAGTTCTGTTCCACATTGTTTTCCTACTCTATCCTAGATCTCCTACACTGATCTCTTTCTGAGTGGTTGACAGTAGTAGCCAGGCACCATCTAGTTCTCCTGGTCTCATGGTCATATAGGCTGAAAGTTTGCATGGTCCACTAGTCCCTTGGATCAATTGTTTCCATGCTTCTTTGGTTTTCTTCACTGTTCTTCGCTCTGGATAAGGAGAGACTAATTGTTGCATCTAGATGGCTGCTTGCAAGCTTTTAAAATCCCAGTTGCTACTCACCAGAATACGATGTATAACAATGTTTTTGTGTAGTATGTTGTGCCAATTGAGCTTGATGTCCCCTGCGACCATGGTCCTGAGCCCACAGGTCCAACAACTCACTCTTTCAGGGTGGATGACTGTGGCTAAGAAACTACCATAACTTTACCCACTGTTAGTTATATTTATATGGACATTCGTACAGCACATACAAATATGTATGTACAAATACCGTCTGCCAACCTTATACAATATGTGCATTAAATTTTAACTCTATAAAAGTTAAAATAATATAAAGGCAAAATATCACACTTACTCTGAGAAGTATTTCCGTGGCTACATTAAACTTATAATGAAGGAGCTCCTGTAGCTCTTGAATTGATCCTTGATACTGTTTTACATTTTTATCTTGCAAATCATATCGTGGGGTTTCTAGCAAAATTAATTTCAATTTCTCAATTAACTATAAAGTAGAAAGATATTCACATTAATTCTCTGATAAAGAATCAAAGAAAAAGGGGAAAGTTCTATCACTTTTGAATTTAGAAACACATCTTATGCTCAGTAAAGCATATTGAAACTCATTAAAGCATATAGAATACCCTTCCTGATTTGCTTCTGTAACTTAGATAATATTTAGAAAAATAATTTCCTCTGAAAACACCCATATAACAATTTTCAACTATATGAAACAGCTGTAATTATGCTGTGCTATCATTAAGAAGTTGACAGACAAGTCACAGTTTGTTATTACCTAAGACTGTGGAACTGTAGCAGTAACAACATGAGGAGGCAAATAAGAAAAGGAAAAAGTAAAGAAGGAACAAAAGAGGAGGAGAACTACTAATATTTACTGAATAAGCATTACTGAATTTTAAATGCTTTATATGTTTTAATTCATTTAACCCTGACCATAATCCTATGAGTTAGATATCGTTACTGTGCTCATTTTATAGATGAGGAAACTGAGGCATAGTATGATAACAGAACAGCTAGTAAGTGACAGGTTTGAATTTTAAATACGGACACAGGCAAAACAGAAAATTTCTAAGTTAAGAGAGCAGAACAGTAATGTAGGGTAGGATAGACTCAAGCGAGGATGCTGAGTTTGAATCCTGGTCGCCTTTTACTAGCACGGTGACACTAAACAAGTTATATTGTGTTATAAGTTATGTTATAAAATGGCAGAGGGATTTTAAGAATTGTTAAAATGAAAATGAAAAGGTTACAAAATACCTCTTTATATAGCCAAGGACACAGAAGTAGTAATGTTATTAATTGGCAAATAATAAATTCATTTTTTCCTCTATTTTTGGAGTCAATATCAGATAATTTATAATTGAAAATTATAGGATAATATTTATACACTTACATTCAGCACTAGTTTACTCTTCTCAATCACTTCCTCAAAAGTCTCATTTTTTTCCTCTTTCCACAAGCTAATGAAAGTATTCATTTCTTGGAGTACTGAAGGATCAGGACTCCCATCACATCGAATGTAGTGTTTCCACTGTGGATAAAAATGCTTCAAGGTTCACACCAATGAACACTGAATCATAAAGACACCTCTTTTATGAAATATGAGGTAATCTAAACCCTGTTTTTCCAATTTAGGCAAAAATATACTATCACTTTAATTAGTAACTTGAGATATCACTAAAATAACCAAATTCTTCTTAATCAAAATAATTTCTAATTCTCAGTAATTCAGATAAATAAAACCTCTATTTATTTTTTATTTTATTTTAAAAAGAGTATTTAGTAGTTTGTTTTCTTTTGTTTTGTTCTCTAATCTTAAAGCTCCAAAATCTGCAAAAGCCAACACTTGGACTAACTTTTTTTCCCCAATTATTATCGATTGCTGATCATCATTGGCATTTTAGTATGAGTGCTTCCACTCACTTTGTAGTTTATGCATGTTGTTACATATTTATTATTGCATATTTATTTACAAGTTTTCTCTAAAAATTACACCATAATCTTCTTTTGCCACATTATTACAAATTTTCATTATTCTCCTGATAATCATCTACAGTGTTTCCAAAGGTAGGCTGTTCCAAGTAACACTAGAATTGCCTTAAGCACCAAGATTTTTTATTTTTATTTAGGATAATTTCCAAAGTATAGATTCCTAACAATTGATTCAGAATGAAAGGGTATAAAATTTTTAAGGATCTTGATAAATACTGACAATAGCTTTCTACAAAGCTTGATCAATTTACTTTGCCACAAACAATATGAGAATTCTTATATCAGATGACAGATCTTTTTTAGATACATTTAAAACTTATTGAAATCAAGATGGATATCAGACCACAACTTCCTCTTGTAGTAAGTAAATATTAATAATAATAATAATGATAAAAAACAGAGAGAAAGAGAAATCAATCTTACCTGAGAAAGCAATCTATTTTCTCGTTTTAATTTCTCTGCTTCAGGATAACACACTTCTAACAAATAAAGTTCTTCAAGTTCTTCTTTTCTCCGTCCTAGATCCTGTTGCGTGGAGATAGATAGATTGATCTGCTCTTTAATTTTTAGCTTTATGTTTCATAAGCAGCATCTAAAATACACCTGGAGATATAGATATACTTATCAATATCTCCAGAGCTCCTTATACATATCCAAAATGAACACTAAAATTATTGTGAATGTAACTGATAGTTTCAAAAGAATTAATCTAAAACAGTGCTTCACAAGGTGTAACAGACTCCTGGAGGGTCTTCAAGACTCTTGGAGTTTGTGGGATCAAAACTATTTTCACAATCATATCAATACGTTATCTGTCTTTTTCACATTGTACACATTTGTGCTGATGGAGCAAAATTAGTAAAAACTGATGGCACCTTAGCACAAATCAAGGCAGCAGTCATAAACTGTATTAGTATTTGTATTCTACTGGGGGCAGGAGGTGAGAAGTGAGAGGCTGGGGAGCTGGACAGTTGGGTGGGGTGGGGGGTAGGAACCATTATTATTTAAGAATGACTTTGATGAAGAATGGAAATTATTAATTTTATTAAATCTAGACCCTTAAGTACATTAAGTCCCTTAAGTCTTTTTAATATTCTGATAAAATGGCAAGTCTATGTAAAGCACTTGTGCTACACAGCAAAGTCAATACAGTCTTGAGACAAAAGTACTTACTTAAGCAGTTGTTTGGGTTATGAGCTGAACTAGCCACTTTGTATCATTTTTACTTGAAAGAATGACTGACTTGCAAAAGATGGTTATTCATACTTCAGTATCTTGGCAGACATTCTCTTGAAAGTGAGCAAACTGAGTCTGTCACTTCAAGGAAACAATGTAAAGTATTTACTGCTAATGATGAAATCCAAGCTTTGAAACAAAAAGAATTTTATAAGCTTGTGTCTACCACAATGAGCCTGACAAAGTCCCAATACCTAAAAATTGTTCTGATTTGATTGGAGATGATATTAATGGATGTAATTTTTTTATAGTCAATAATGAAATGTGTCAATATTTGGGTAATAATTCAGTGAACTAAATTTTCCAAAAAAACAACACATGATATTACAAAATTATACATGGATATAAGATCAAAATAGGTTACTCTATTTTAATGGATCAGAGTATGACAAGTTAACCACTGATATGCTTTCAGATTCCATATTAAGAAATTACCATTTGTTGAGTTTCAGTATAGTATCAAGGAAGAATATACACAATTATCCGAAAGGCTATTAAAACATTCCTCCTCTTTCCAACTACGTATTTGTCTGAGGACAGATTTTCTTCATATACTTCAATCAAAACAACACATTGTAACAGATGGAATACTGACGTAGATATATGGATACAGCTGTCTTCTGTTAAAGCCAGACACTAAAGAGATTTTAAAAATGTAAACAATGTCACTAGTCTCCCTAATATTTTTTGAAAATATATTTTTCAGAATATGCTGTTAACATATCTATGTTTATTAATACTTATTTTTTAATCAGTGTTTAATGTGTATTAATGTAATTCATGTTTTAAAATTTTGCTTTAATTTCTAATATGGTAAATGTTGTTAATATAACCCACAAAAACTCCTTGTAGTCCTCAATAATTTTTAATAGTTTAATAGGATTTGTTCCTTGGACCAAAATGTTTGAGACCTACTGATCTAAAAGCTTCTGGTGAAAAAGAGAAGTGAAACTGTTAAAGGAGAGGTAGAATTTGAATAACTTAGAGAGAGAGAGAGAGAGAGAGAGAGAGATATTTGCCTCTGTTATATTGTCTGTAAGAGAGTTTGTGAATAATAGTTTAATGGTTAATAGTCTGGATCTGAAGCAAGACTGCTCTGGCCCAAACCCTGGGTCTGCCACCTATGAGTTGCTTAAGTTCTCTGTGCCTCAGTTTCCTCATTAATGAAATGGCGGTAATAATTGGAATTATTTACGTCACTTCAACCAATGATTAAGTGAGTTAAACCAGCAAGTATGTATAGTAGGTATTAAGTAAGCTGTGGGTTGAAAATGTCAGAATGGCCAAACAAATCTGACAGGTAAAGAGTTTAATAAAGTTGTTAATGTTTATTTACTTTTGCTTCCAGTTGTTGCCATTTTTCTCTCTCAACTCGTTGTGTTTCAAGCCTTTCCATTTCTTCTTTTTCATACTTCAAACGGGCTTCCTCTAAAGAACCAAAAAAAAAATTTTTCTTCAGAGATTAATTTACTATATTTTTAAGCACAAAGTTACTGCAAATATTTTCAGTATATGGTAGTGGTGGCGGTAGAATATTTTATAGAAGTCACAACCTTTTCTGCATGGTAAAAATTAGAAAAGTGCTAGATTCTTTCAAAAAAGTAACATAACTTTAAAACTTTTTGACTACAAAAAGGCCACAATATCTCTCTTCTCCAAAAAGTCTGTAGTAATCCAATAATGATTTTAACCAATAATAAATGACAGCTCTATCATGGGTAACTGTGGAGAGGGAAAGCCTTCAGGAAATATCTATAACACTGTGACAGCTACAACATCAGTAGCAATTACCTTATTTTTTCTTGCTCTACTAAAAATAAGATATGAAATATGCATTGAAGAATATTAACTCCATATAATAAAACATTCCCTAAAATGTAAACTCTGATATTGCATTCTTTTATGAGTCACCTAATAAAGGATTTATGAGAGACCTCATATGAAACCCCACATAAAACCTGAGGATAAAATCCACTGCTGCCAAGTCAATTAGACTCAGTGACCCTACAGGACCAAGTAGAACTGCTCCATAAGGCTTCCAAGGCTGTAAATATTTATGGAAGCAGACTGACACATCTTTCTCCTGTGGAATGGCTGGTGGGTTCAAACCACTGACCTGTCAGTTCAAAGTTGAGCGCTTTAACCAGTGCACCACCAGGGCATCTTTAAACCTGAGGATAGACTTTTAAAAACCTGAATCTCAATCCACAGATATCCTTAATACTAAAAGCTACAACCACTTGAAATGTTCATATTTTTGCAATCACTTTTTGGTATTTTAATTAACAACACACTTTTATTAATTTTTAATCAGCATTTTGAAATAAATGAAAATTCCACTTTAATTTGACAAATAAATATTGTTACACACTATGAGAATTAGGGTGCTGTGTGTCTTTCTTGTTATTGTATATTTCTCATATTAAATGAATTTGTTTCACAATTCTTACTGTACAATCAGCACAGTTGCCTCTAATTTTATCAGTAAATATAAATACTTCAAGATAGCACTGTTGGGTTTAGCATATTAAAACACATTTAAATTTAAATTTAAAATTAAAAAATACCCTTTTTTTTTAAGTACATCCCAAATATTGCACAAGTCAAATTATCCCAAATGACCATTGTTTATCTGAAATTCAAATTGAACTGAACATCCTGGATTTATTTGGCAGCCCTGCTTCAAGATATTTTTCAAAGTGATTGGTGTGTACTAACAAAGTCGGTCTACTACCCTTTCATTAGTAGTTATCTGCTATAAAACAGATCAAATTAGAAAAATAAAAATTTAAAAAAACACATTGACTGGATTACAGAAATGTCAACCGACTGTCACTGTGATCTCTATCTGAAAACAGTCTCACTCTATATTATTTTGTACCTTCCTCTTTCAGCCGTCTCTCCTCTTCCTCTTGCAGCATCTTCAGTCTTTCAGCTTTGGTGATTTTCTTTTTCTTACTGGCAGACTTAACAAAGCCAACAACATTAAAAAAAAAAAAAAAAAGAAAGAAAGAAAATACCATTAACATGCAGCCAAATCACCTAAAAATCTGTCTCCTCAAATAGTGATAGTAAGTACACTTGCCCTCATGAAACCAGTCTTTCACTCATTCACTCAACAAATAAAACTGCCTGTTACGTGCAAAGGCCTGGCAATCTACTTCCAAAAACTAGACAGTGAACCCTATGGATCAAACAGAATATTGTCTAATATACTACTGGATGAGCTCCCTAAACTGGAAGGCCCTGCAAAATGGCAGCAACAATGGACTTAAATACGCCAACAATCAATGTTTCATTATGTTGTATACAGATAAGGCCATCATGAGTTGAAACCAACTTGATGGCAACTAACAAAAATTGTGTGCATTGAAGATCTATGTCTGGAAATAAATAAGAAAAATAAGCATTAATTACTCTAGGGCAAGGGTGACAGTGACAAGTATACACAATTTAAATTATCTAAGTTTACACATTTTTTAAATGGTGCTAAATAAAATCTTATGTAGGATTAAATGAAAATATGTTATGTATGTAAAAGCAAAACTGCAAATCTCTATAAAAATGAAACGTATGTTTACAATGAACAGATACTCAGAGAAAGTTATTTTACAAGTCTGGAAGAAGACTTATAAAAGAAGACTTATTTTCAGCAGCAGAGATCAAGTAAAATTTTTATCAAGCAGCTGGTTTTAACTTTGTGCCTCAAAGGATTTTAAGATTCAGATATGAAGGGCAGATGTCCCAAAAGGAGGGACATGCAGGCACAAGATATAAAATTGGGAGAGCATTAGATAGACCAGCAAGTTCAGTGGACCCAGAGGAAAACTCCAAGAGATGAAGAAGGAAATGAAGATGGAAAAGAAGTTTGGAGTCTATGCTAAAAAGTGTGGACATTATTCTGGAGGAACGAAGCATCTCCAATTGTTTTTGAGAAGAGCCCTGGCTGTAAGAATATGAGTTTGAAGACCTAACCTGGTAGCATAGTGTCTAAGGCACTTGACTGCTAACCAGAAGGCTGGCAGTTCAAACCCACTAGCCACTCTCAGAAGGAAGGCTGGGCAATCTACTTCCATAGCGATACGGCCTTGGAAACCCACAGAGGGGTCGCTATGAGTCAGGGCTAACTTGATGGCAAAATAACAATAACAACCTGGTATTAGGAAAAAAAATTATAGAAAGGATATCATTTTGGTGATTATTAACAATAGTCCAGGCAAGCATTAAGGAGCCCTAGTGGTGCAGTGGTTAAAGCGCTTGGAGGTTAACAACAAGTAGGCAGTTTGAACCCACCAGCCACTCCTAAGGAGAAAGATGAGGCAATATGCTTCCATAATGATTTACAGCCTTGGAAATCCTACAGAGCAGTTGTGATCGGTCCTATAGGGTTACTAGTAGTCAGAATCGATTCAATGGCAGTAGGTTTTGAGTTGAGGCAAGCACTAACGAAAACTTAAGTAGCATAGTGTCTAAGGTATTTGACTGCTAACCAGAAGGCTGGTGGTTCAAACCCACCAGTCACTCCTGGGAAGGAAGGTTGGGCAATCAATTTACTTTCATTCTGAATCTTAAACATAAAATACTGCCTTGGAAATCCAAGGAGGGGTCGCCACTCCATGGCAAACAACAACAATGAAAACTTAAACTAATCCACTGCTTCTATTTTGCATTTCCTTCACGACCAGAGCAATCAGGTTTTTATTTCTACTGCTCTACAAAAACCTGTCTTGCCAAATTATCTTAAGATGTCCTTGTTTCTAACACCAATAATCAATTCTCCCCCTCATTTTACTCGTCTTTTGCCAGCATTTGGCAAAGGTGATTTATTCTTCCTCCCTGAAACATTTGTTTCATTAGGCATTTATAACTCTAATTTTCCTTCTTTTCCCACAAGGTCTCCCCCATGTCCCCCCTTCTTAGCATCCTTTGCTGCCTCTTCCTTATCAGCTGGAGCTGATCTCTAAATCAGCGATTTTAAAATTATGTGTTCATATATTCCCTAAAAGAATTTTGAAAAACCATTACCCCTTCACACAATTTTAAATGTGTATCTAATATTTCTCACCAAAGATTAAATAGTTACTAATATTGTAACTTTCAGCATATGACATATATAATTTTTATATCACTTTCAAATATATCCAATGGAACTGACAGTATACTATAGTGATTTGATGGCCAATATCATCCATTAAAAAATATATGAACAAGTTCTCTAATAAAAAATTGAATCTTTTCTCTCTTTGAATTCGTGTTTCCATTTTGCCACCTTTGTAGAATCTCATCCTAATGTTATATGCTTGAAAGATTTTTGTTGATGCTTCTATCATTCTTACCTGCTACAAAAATTTGTATGAAAATTTAAATTAAAAAGTTATTTCCTATATCTATAAATTTCTAAGTATTATAAATTTGTTCTATATTGAATTAGTCCTGTAATTATTTTCAGCGTACAACTGAACAATGTAACTTTTATATTATAAATGTTGATACATACGTATTAAACATAAAATTTAAAATTTTACTGGATATGCTTCTCATCATGAGATGAATGGGCTTTTTCTTTTTCCTGGTTAGTGAATGATCCATGGATAAATGTTAAATGCTGCTGAATGAGACAGGGAGTAAGATCAACTATTTTTTATTATTTTTAATTTTTACAAATATAAAAAATGAAAAATCTGGTTTATATAACCAAGTCAGTGGGAATGGGATCATTATAACAACATTATACAGTTCTTTGAATTCCTTCCACATTGTAAGTTAAAAATCATATTCTAATTTATCATCAAAAATTACCCCTAAAGATAATCAACAACTTTAATTTTCTTCCCTTTTTTATAGTTTTATTATTATTTACTTCTTTAGATAAACATTATGATTTATAAGATTCATCCATGTTGATAGCTATAACTGTAGCTCTATATTTTTACTGCTGAATAAAAGGAGCTCTGGTAGCATAGTGCCTAAGGCATTCGACTGCTAACCAGAAGGCTGGCGGTTTAAACTCACCACCCACTCCTTGGAAGGAAGGTTGGGCAATCTACTTCTGTAGAGATATCACCTTGGAAACCCAAGGAGGGGTCATTGTGAGTCGGGTCTGACTCGATGGCACACAACAACAACAACAACAACAAAAGGCATTCGACCGTTAGCCAGAAGGCTGGGAGTTCAAATCCACCAGTTACTCCTCAGAAGAAAGGTTGGGCAATCTACTTCCGTAGTGATAGCACCTGGGAAACCCAAGGAGGGGTCGCTATGAGTTGGATGTGACTCGACGGCAGTGAGTTTGGCTTGGTTTTTTAGTTATATTCTTTTAGTTTCCCATAGCCCTATCACCAAACCCCTTACTTCATTTATCTTCCTGGTCCCAATAGATATTTGGGTGTAGAATGCCTTCTTTAAGGCATACCTCACTTTTCTGTAAATCTCAGTAGTCTTTCTTATGGATTCAACAATACTTTGTGTACTCATAACACATATATTTGTATATATCTCAGTTATAGCCTTTATATCATTGTAATGTTAATAATTTGTTTATAACTGTGAGTTATTCAAGGTGAAGAACATGTCATAACTAGTTTTGTGCCCATAGCAGTTAGCACAGTGCCTGGCTAGAAACTGTAGAAATTCAATTAACATTTGTCAAATAAGTATGTGAGGTCTCATTTAACCTACCACCACTTAAAACACTTGGGCTCCTGATTGTTTAGAAGAAATGTTTATATAGGTGTATACATATTTATTATTTATACAATTAAACATTTCTTCAAGAAATACTACAGAGTGCCTTCTATGTTTGCTTCTCTCATTCACTTGGCCCTACTATCAACCTGATGCTGTTTGGGGGGCTGTAGAATTAACTGAATAAAACTGGTAAAAGCTCTGAATATGTTCTTATTGCCTGGCAAGACTGTAGGCCCAATGTTGTTGGGTTTCCAATATTTTAAGAATAGATGAAAATCAGATTTTTATATAAAATTGAAGTTGGTGACTGATTTACTAAAGTTGGTTTTAGGCCAAACAAAATATGTCTGTGAGCTAAATGTAGCCTATCAACCAGGAAGTTATAATCTCTGCCTAAAAGTATAAGCCTAGAAGGTGAGGAAGAGAGAAAAGGGCTTTCCAGATGTACAGAATAGCACATTCCAAGGTACAGTGGGAGATCACCCGTGTGGCCACAGCATAGTGAGTATGGGCAGGAAACAAGATTAAGCTGGTAAGACCAACTCTGTTCATAAAGTGAAGCTGCTTTTGCTATATGGGTACAACGCAATGCAACACACTGCTGTGGAATGGGATCCGACTCATAGCGACCCCTCCTTGGGTTTCCCAGATGGTATAACTATGGAGATAAGCTTGCCCAACCTTCCCTCTGAGGAGTGCCTGGTGGGTTTGAACCTCCAGTCTTCTGGTTAGCAGTCAAATGCCTTAGGCACTACACCAGTAGGCATGGTGAAAATTAAACTGGAGAGTGACATGACTAGATAAAATATATGTTTAGAAGATAGCTAGCATGTAGGTGATGAAATAAAGAGAAAATGGCAATAAGGATGAAAAGAAGGTAGAATTCAGAGTAAATTCTGATGTGACATGAACAACACTTAGCTAGAAAAGTGACCAAAAAAAAAAAAAAAAAAAAGAGAGAGAGAGAGACAGAAAATAAAGATGATTCAAAAGAATCTAGAAGGTCAATTAGATGATAATACCTGGTCAAGATGATTCAACTGATAGTGGCCCTCTTTGGATTTCTGAGGTGGTATCTCTACAGAAGTAGATTGCCCAATCTTCCTTCTGAGGAGAGGCTGGTGGGTTTGAATCATAAGCCTTTTGGTTAGCAGTCAAATGACTTAGGCACTATACCACCAGAGCTCCTGTTTGGTTTGTTTGGTCCATCCATATAAACTAACCAAGTAAGAGGTTTCAGGGAGTATTACAGCAAGTCAATCAGTATGCCAACT